CAGATGCCAGTTGACTCCAGGTGATGCCAACTGACCCCAGCTGATGCCCGTTGACTGCTGTTGACCCCAGCTGACATCAATTAACCCCAGTTGTCACTGGACGATGTTGATTGACCCCAGCTGATGTCAATTGACCCCATTTGATGTCAGTTGACCCCAGCTGATGTCAATTGACCCCAGTTGACCCCAACTGACCCCAAAGGACCTCAGTTGACCCCCGCTGACCCCACCCGACCCCAGCTGATGCCAACTGATACCAGCCAGCATCCCTTGACGCCGGCTGTCGATCGATGCCAGCGGAGCTCAGCCGACCCGGCTGACGGCGTTACCTCGTAGACGGCGAACCCGATGGTCTCCATGTCCTTGCCGTAGCGGCGCTCGCGGCGCCGGTCCTTCTGCATCAGCGCCAGCAGGAAGCTGCAGCCGGGCTCGCGCCCGCCGGCCTCGTCGCCGTCGTCGTCCACCTCCTCCAGCTGGATCTTGAACTGCGGGTTGATCCAGAACGTGGCTGGGGGAGGACGGGAGGAGGCTCAGCGGGCGCCGGGACCGGGGGTGGGTCGGGGGGTCGGGGCTCCCCCCGGCGCGCACCGGGGTAGTTCCTGCAGCCGCCGGCGGTGCTGCCGCGCCGCCACGTCCCGTCGTAGAGCCGCGTGTTCCACTTGCGGAACTTGCGGGCCTGCAGCGCATCGGGGGTGAGGTTGCAGATCTCCAGGCGGGTGAATTCCCGCAGGAAATCCCGGAAGGACATCCTGGAGGGAAGAAGTTTGACCCCCTCGTTTCCCCGGGGCGCGAAACGGCCGGGAAAGGGGTGGGGGGGTCGGGGGGGGGGGTTTGTCTCGCTCTTGTTTCCTCACCAGAACTCCCCGTCCTCCATCTTGACCATGAGCTGCTGGCGCAGCGCCGGCTCCACCGCGTGCCACTCGGGCGAGCTGCGGGCGCAGAGGGGTCAGGCGGGGCCCGGGCCCCTCGTTAGCCGCCGCTAACGAGCCCCGACGGCGGCGGCGAGGCCTCACCTGTCGCTCCAGGGCCCCGTCCACTCCACCTCCCCCCAGGGGTTCCGCATCCGGATCAGGCCCAGGGACTGCCCGCGGTAGTTGATCTGTCGACGGCAGCGTCAGGGCCGCGTGACCCAAAAAGAGCCGTTCCCGCCCCAAAACCGGCGCCACCATCGGGGCCTCTCTCAGACCCCAAAAAGCACCATTTCCACCCCAAACCGGCGCCGCCATCGGGGCCTCTCTCAGACCCCAAAAAGCACCGTTCCCACCCCAAAGCGGCGCCACCATCGGGGCCTCTCTCAGACCCCAAAAAGCACCATTTCCACCCC